GGGGCCAGTGAGAAACCTGGCACTAGGGAAATTCCCAGGAATCCACAGGGATGATCCCAGCTAAGACCCTAAGCAACAGTGGAGAGGTCAAGTCATAATGACCTTCCCCTGTAATCAGCTTGATGACTACTTTAAATGTCATCATAGAACCTACATCCAGCAACTGGTGGAAGCAGTTGCAGAGATTCACAGTTAAGCACTGGACCAAGCTTCCAGAGTCTGGTTGAAGAGAGGGAAGAGAGATAATATAAACAAAGGGGTCAAGACCATGATGGGAATACCCATAGAAACAGCTGACCTGAGGTAGTGGGAGCTCACTGACTTGGGGCTGACAGTGGGGGGACCTGCATAGGATCAAACTAGGCTCTCTAAATGTGGGTGACAGTTGTGTAGCTTGGTAATTTGTGGGGTGACTGGCAGTGGGACTAGGATTTATCCCTAGTGGCTTTTTGGAGACCGTATGTTTTGTAAGTTTGGAATATTGCCACCAGGCGGCAGCAGCATAATGCCTTCTTTTCTTTTCTTTCTTTTCCCTTCCTTCCTTCCTTCCTTCCTTCCTTCTTCTTTTCTTTTTGGTTAGGGAATGAGAAAAACAACTACTAAACATGTTCTTAAAAAGGAATCGATTAGATTCAAAAGTAGAGACTCTTGATTAGGAGAGGTGATAGTTCATCAAACAGCATGGCCAGTCAAGCTAAACTAACTTATAAAACTAACAAATATCTTTCATTTGATCAGATATAACCCACAGAAAATGGGAACTCCCCAAAGTTAGCATTGGAACAGGGTTTTGTTTTATATTTCCAGCAGAATAAAAGCATCCAACTAGGGATTATAAAGACCACAGGAAGAAAGAGACATCTGAAGAAGGACAAATAATTAAGAGAAAATGTCCCAATAAAGAGAGAAAATTGACCAACAGAACTGAATTTCATAAAGCTTTCCAAATGTTTGTTTCTACTGTTCTCTACAGACATACAGAAAATGATCTTTTTTTTTTGTAGTCCTAATTCAATTAAAAATTAAAACTGGCTTTGGAGATAGTGTGTGGCTTTCTCTTTCTCTAACCCAAGCATGCTTTTTAATGAAAAATCCAAAATCTCTGTCTCATGTCAGAAAAGCCAGCTGGTATGGGAAAGAAGAAAACCAAAATTAAGGGACTATTCGATTGCCACTTACCTCATAATCCTTAGTCTTTAATTTGACTCTTTAGAACTTTCCTTAAGGTATAAATATTATCTCAAAATTTATAAAATTATTATATATTTAAATTTTCTGTCTTGTTATTAATGATCTTATAGAGAACTAATTCTAGAAATAGACTTAATCTAGCTTCCTATACATGATTTCAGGCTTACGTCTGGAGCAGGTAACTAGGAACTAAGTTTGTGTATCCCAGATGTATTTAATAGATTGTGGTCCTTGGAGAAGAAATAAAAAATATTTAAATTTTCTGCAGTGAACTGTGACTATTTCTAGCAGTGATCTTTGAGGTCTCCAAGAAGATGATGGGGGCTCTGCAACAATGATTCAACCTGGATTGTGGTAATGCCACTAAGCTGAAAAACACTACCATCCGAGATCAGTTTTGACTACAAACTGCCCAGGACTACTTTGACGTAGTTACTAAGATGGCTTAGCCTCGTAGACTACTTCGGCCAGGACTTCAGATAAGCCCTGCACTTTCCCATCACACTGAGACTGGAAAACAGCTAGCTCTCCTAGGACTTGATCATTATCTCAGTTCTCACAGGGTCCTTCAAAGATTCTGTCACCCCCAGACAACAGAAAGTAGGTGGAGTGGGTGGTTTTGGGCCATTTGGTGGATTATGGATGTTTATCTTAGTTTAGGCAGTTGGCTGCAAGTTATTATTCATACTGCTCAGAGAGAAAACTAAACAAAGGAGATTTAGATTCAGGGATCTCATTCTGAACAGAAGAAAGGGGGATATAGGAATGATGGGAAAAAGGGTAGATTATTGAATCTACCTTTAAACTAAAACCAGCAACTATTATCTCAATTTTACATTAGTATAAATTTTTATATATTGATACAAATTTAAGGTTATTTTTGTTATACTGTATATATGTTTCTACTCTAGTTTAAGGTATTGTACCTATGCAGTTCATTTAACAATGTAATGCAAAATTATAGTCCTTGAAAATTATTACAAAATATTTAGGATAATTAAAAATGAAGGTTTGTAGTTAGTCATCTATAACATTCAAACTTTTGGCCATGTTAGGTATGTTTTCAAGGTTAAACAGATATATTTTAGAAAGATAGATTGTCTTCCATTCCAAGACCTTCAAAATATGACATTTGAGATGTTTTATTTAAATAAAGCTCTTCATGACACTGAGACACATCTGCTCCTGGCAGCATGAATTTACTCCAAGAAAGAATGATGGGTATCCAAGAACTTTCATATGGAGTTTGGTTTCATTGTGGCAAAGTTAGCTACTGGACAAGAAATTGTCCTTGCCTCAATTGCTGACAGTATGCTGTCCAAATTGGATAAGCAGGACACAAAAGAAAGTGACTGCCAAACTTTGTCAAGACAAGATAGAACAGTCATTTAAAATTCCTGCTTCATAGAGAAGTCTGTTAGATATTTTAGGCCTATAGGCCAAAGGTGGATGCCCCAATGTTGCAGAGGAACCTTGAGTGAATGTCCAGGTAGCTCGATGTTTCTGTCATTTGTATAGTTTTGGAAGTTGTTTATTCTGCACTTCCTGTTTATCCAGGTATTATTATATCCTTCTTGGATCCCTGATGGGGTTGAAGACTAGTTACCATTTTCTTTTATTTTTTTTAATCAAATTCAGAAAAGAAACTTACATAAGAGATGTAAAGTGTAGATGTAAGGTTGAGAGACATAAAGGCTTTGGTTGTTTTATCTAAGTAAACATTTTATGGTCTAAAATACATTTCTAGGTTGGTAATACAACTTATGGTATAAAGTGAATTAGATACAAAACTTTGGAATCACAAAGGTAGGACAGATAATAGAATATTTTCTCTGAGTTTTCCAACTAACTGGACATTGTTATTGTAATTCTAACCTGATAATTGTTCTTATTTATATAGTTTATAACTGTGTTAGAGTTGAAAACCTTTCATTTTTGATTAGGGAGGAAATGTTGTGGGATATGTATTTGCACAAACACTCTGAGACTGACAACAAAATTTACCTTGAATCACAGGGCGGAGTCAATGATTGGCTGACCAGAATTAGCCATAGAAGCTTTGGAGGATTGAGATGGGGGCACAGAAAGTATTAGGGAGAGACTAAGACATATATGAGGTTTTTTTTTTTTTAGATCTGAGAAACCTGGAGAGGCAGGGTAAATATATCATTCCTCTGTTACCCTTTGGGTCTATGAGGTTTACCCCAATATCTGACTCCTGAGTTTTATTTAATCTTATAACAATGTAAGTAATCACTTCATACATTGAGGGGAGAAGTAGCTGAGAAGGCAGACTCTAGAATTTGGGGTCAAATTTGATGGGTAACAGGAGCCAGCAGACACATGATCCATACATTACCTTATGAGAATAAAATCAGTGCTTGGTCAGAAGGGTTGAGTTCTGTGGAAGGGGATTTATATATGCCAATCCTGTGATTTTGGCACTAGATGAATGAAGAAAAGAAATAAAAACAGAGGACATGACTGCTCCTAGGTATGGTGGAGAAGGTTTATTGTTGATAAAAAGGAGATCACAGGGCTGGAGAGATGGCTCAGTGGTTAAGGGCATTGCCTGCTCTTCCAAAGGTCCTGAGTTCAATTCCCAGCAACCACATGGTGGCTCACAACCATCTGTAAAGAGGTCTCGCACCCTCTTCTGGCCTTCAGGCATACAGACAAAATATTGTATACATAATAAATAAATAAATATAAAAAAAAAAGGAGATCACAGCCAGAGGCAGGAATATCTGGGAGAGTCCAGAGTGAACACAATCCTGAACTGAGCCTTGAGAGGAGAGGGATGAGAGGATAGGGAAGAGCCAGATCAAGAGGTCAGGAGTATAAAGGATAGACCAAAAAGGGGGCAGGTAACCAAAATGGCTGGATTATACAGGGAAGGGGAACCCAGCCTGGATAGGAGAAGTTTAGGGTAGGGTATGTTAGCCAGAAGGGTTCTGTAATAGGCAGGGACTCAGGGATGCTGGGAGAACCTGGTGGCCATGTCTACTTTGATGTGTTAAATAGACACCTATTTAACAGCCAGTGGATTTTTTTTTTAAACTTTTTTGGGACAGGGTCTCTCTACACAGTCCTGGCTGTCCTGGATTCAGTATGTAGTCTAGGAAGCTGTCTGCTTCTGCCTCCCAAGTGTTTGGATTAAAGGTGTGTGCCACTGTGGCCAGTTGCTGTGAATTCTTATTTCATAACCTAACAGGTACTCGTAAACCTTCAGGGGCAATTTAAAGAAGGGGCACACCTAACCTCCTTGTCACCTTGCGGAGTCTCTCTCAGACTTCAGCTTTGGTGTGTGTTCATTCCTAGGATATACCCATTGCTTCTCACTCTGCTTGATACTTAGTAGGAACTCAGCACACGGACTAAAGAGGCCATGTCACGGGGAATTAAAACTTTTTGGGTTATTTGAGTTTTGTATGTCAATCTAGGAAAGAATAGAACCAGAAAATTTTTATTCTATACCAGGGAATTCATAAATCTTGGAAGGACTCCCCTAACATAAATGTTGTAACTTGAATTTAAAAATCCTATGTCTTGGGGGCTCAAATTCTATCTACGACCTTGACATGTACAGACTAAGATCTACCTAGTGACGAGACAAGTGGTAGAACATTCAAGACTGGTGCCTGAGAATTGAAGGTAGTGGTTAAGGTATCCCTGGGTATTTCTCCAAAACGAAACTACGTGACTGGACACCCAGCAAGCACTATTAGACCACAAACAAAGAGACAGGGTAGGAACATTCTGGACCAGTCTTTATGTTTTTGTAGGGTGACTGTGAGACCCTCGCTCCTCCCTGGATGCCGAATTGGCAGACAAGAGGGCCCAAGAAACCCAGAAGTGCAAGGGCAGTCCCATTCTCAGTTCTGGAGATTCTGCAGTCAGGAGAACTCGTGAAGACAGTGCCTACTTCTCAATTGTAAAACAGGCTAAAGTAGGCCACACGGTTCCGATGTTTTCTAAAGTCCTTGTCTGTGGACAGCTGCAATAAAAGAACATTGTATAGTTCAGTATCCCAGAAAGAGTCCTCTTCTTCTGATCTTCCTGACTATGATGTGGAACCTCACAGTATAAAACCTGTGGCCCAGGTAAAGCCCAACCCAACAGGAATTGATTCGACATTCATGATAACTGAGAACATTGTACTCTGGAGTTCATCATGCTAGGAATTGGCTACTTGGAAATTTTCGAGCAGTTGGTCAACATCTTGATGGCAAGGATTATATGTTTAACTATATGTTACCCATAGATCCTAACACATCCATCCATATATTAGGCATTTAACAAATATTTATGGATTTAATCCTAAATTCCACTAGGAAAAAAAATAAACCTAGAATTACAATAGCAAACCCAAACTAAGTATATATTCTATGTACTGTATGAAATGCTTTTCCATATTATCTGTTAGTTAGCTTTACAACAAGGCCAGATAAATTGTATTATTAAATTCATTTTAAAGATAAGGAAGTCAATACAAAGAAAAGGCCTAAAGATTACACAGAAAAGCAACACTGGACCCCTGTTTGAAGACAGGTAGTACTTTCCACGCTCTTACTCAGAATACTCTCCAGCTCTCCAGTGATCTAACACATGCGATATGTCAGAAAGAACAATGAAGAAGGAGTCATGGATGTGGACTGTAGCTGACCAGTCACTTGATCGTTACTGTTCTCAGCATCTTCTTAAATCATATAGGATATTTCCCCATGTCTACCCTAAGGAATTAGCAGGTGCAGGTAATTCCTTATCTAAGGATCAGATGAAAATGTCATAATTATCTATAAAAAGCTAACACAGATGAGTTTCCAAAACTATCCTCACATTGACATACACACAAAATATAAGTTCACAGGATCATGAACTTTTCAAAGTTTCCTTACAAACTTCTGGTTAAGAACAAAAGATAATACAGGATATAGTACTGGACAGAAAGATGTGTTAGCAGCCAATCTTATTACCTCAGCTTTTAGAGTTCTTTTCTCTAGACATGGAACCTGACACCAGTCTGGAGATCCAAATTTCATTGGCCAAGCAATCTTTGGGGGTGTCTTCTTCTCTGGATTGTATGTGCCAGGGCTAGAAATAAACATACAAATATGGTTGATGATGGACCATGAATTTCACCCTCCTTGGGAAAAACAAGACTAACCTCGTCAGGCAAATTTGAGTGTCATTTCCCATTAGTGTGTCTCTAATTAGGTTGCCAGTGTTAAAGAGAACCAGCCTCAACATCCAAGCAAAGGGCTCAAACATATTTCTATAACTCAGTATCCTTAGCTGAAAGACCAGAGATCTCAGTTTTCGTGAGTGCTAGGAGATCCACCACGGTGATGGGTTAGTACTGCCCACAATTTGAACATGGTGACATACATGCAGAGACAACTTTTCTGCAATCTAGGGAGAAGCAAAGCAGAACCAGTTACTTTGGCTCTCAATAATGAGATTATTTGTGAATTGCCTGTGTTTGTAAAGCTGTTGTAGACTTTACTGTAAGGAATAGTTTATATCTATATAGTTTAATCTATAGCTATAGAATCAAGACTAATGCTTAAACTTCCTTAACAGAAGCTTGGAAAGGTAGCTTGCATTCTCTTGGATTTCTCATCAGTTAGGGAAAGACTTTGATCATTTCCCCTGCAGTTGCATATTGAGAAGGTTCATCGGCATCTAGACTAAACCCCACTGGCTTACAAGGACCAGATATTCTAGCCCGCCCCCCTTCTGTGTTTACATTTCCTCCCTTCTCACTGTACCCTAACCGTGATAATGTCTTTTCTATCCTGTCAAATTTCTTCTCAACTTAAAGAATTTGCACTTGCTGTTCTTTCTGCCTGGGATGCTCTGACTCCACATAACAGATTAAGTCACTTTACAGGACTGGTTTAATCTATTTGCTCAGATCTCAGGCCAAGTGACACTTGCTGAGTGCTTTTCTTAGCAACTTTAAACAAAGTCGCCCTCCAGCTCATCAGTCTATCACATCACCATTCTGCTCTAACGTCTTCATAGGACAGCACCAGTTCGCCACAGGGTCTGGTGTGCTCATTACAGTCTTAGCTTATAGTTACTGTCCTGAGGGAACTGTCACTTGGTTCCCTTCAGTCTTGGAAGTGTTATAGTTTGACTGATAAATTATATGGTCAGTATTCTTATTACTGTTGGTATTTGCTTGAGTATTTAATTCTGATTTCTTTGGCTCTAACATGTACTCTCCAAGAGAGCAGGATCTCTGTTTGGTGGGCACATTGAATTCTCTGTGGAAGCCTCACAAGCACCTGACACTTTAGTAAATGTCTATTGAATTAATAACCAATTCTACAACTCTAGAGTACCAGAGAAATGAGAAGTTAGAGGTCACATCTTTAAAGATTTAGCTTGGAAAGTTTGGACGTAATTCCTGCTTTATGTACTTCTTTCTTATGGAATGCACAGTAAACAGGAGACATACCCAGGATAAGAAGCGCCCTTAACTTCAGTCCTAAATCGAGGCATCATGACATTAAATGGAGCAAAGCTTTGTTTGTATTTCTCATCATAAGTACAAACTTTCTGGTACATTCCTGGATATGGCGTCACATCCTGTAATTATAAAAGGATTGTGTTAGAGGTTGATAAGATACAATCTATATTATCACAAAGTATTTAAGGTAAAGCAAAACAATCATTTCATGCTCTTTATAAGTCAGCTACAGTTCAGGGTGTCAAAGACGTAGAAATAGGCCTAAGTAGCCAAAAACCTAAAGATGGTTGTGGTTTATACACGCGCGCGCGCGCGCGCACACACACACACACACACACACACACACACACACACACTATGGGTAAGGAATCAAAGCAAGTTGGTCCAGTCCATCTCTGGGAGATTTTTATAGTTAGTATTGCTAGTCCTTGACTGTTCAGCAGGAGAGTAGGATCATAGCCAGGGGCTGCAGCTCAATGCAAGCACATTGGTCTGGTCCAGCCTAGGCTCAGAATTCATCAGTAAAAAGGAGAAAGATAATGATTTTGCTTTTGCTCACAATTAGACTTGAAATCCAGCTAGACACAGATACACACACAATGAAAAAGTTGGAATTTGTACTTTAATTGACAAGATAGTGTGATGTAAATAAACATGGCTTTTCTATTTTAACTTTAGGTTATTTTTTATTTTTTTATTTTTGGTTTTTCGAGACAGGGTTTCTCTGTGGTTTTGGAGCCTGTCCCGGAACTAGCTCTTGTAGACCAGGCTGGCCTTGAACTCCCAGAGATCCGCCTGCCTTTGCCTCCCGAGTGCTGGGATTAAAGGCGTGCGCCACCACCGCCCGGTTTAACTTTAGGTTATTAAAGCCCTGTCCTGGGTCTGTTTCTTCAGTGAACTAGTTTCCACTCTCCCCAGGTTACTTCCTGCTTGCAGTGTTAATGCCTCAACCTTTTATGTTGCCGCCTGGACCACCTTACAATCTCTGAACGTTACCTTGCTGACTGGCTGAAACCTCACTGCTGTCCTGGCTCCAAGAGCATAACCTTTCGTACTGGCTGGGATCCGAGACAGGTTGTACGCCAAACCATTCCACTTCCAGTGGAAGGAAAAGAGGGAAGGAGGGGAGGAGAGAGAAGAAAAACATCAGTAACACAATCGTAAGCGGGGTGAATTTAGAATGTCCCCATGTGAACTTCTCTGCAAGCCATTGCTGTTTTATTTTTCTTGTCTTGATTCTTATATAGTCAAAACTGTACAGTTAAACAAACAACACAAGTAACTTTGCAGAGAAGTGTGGCTGGACAGATGAATAAATTGAGTGTCTGTGAATCCCAGTGCCTTCCATCTTCAGAGTCCTGTAACAGCTGAATTTGCTTTTCAGGAAGAGGCAGCCCGGAGACTGAAGAAACCGACATCAGCCCATAGGGATGTGGGGACCCAGAAAAAAAAGCCACACATAGAGTAATTTTTCTACCAGAACACATGTGTATCCTTCCATAGGAAACTGAGGGGGAGGAGAATACTCACATCTGTTTCTGAGTAACACCCAGGGCCTGTGTGGGGCGATCCCCTAACAGGGAGAAACTTGTTCCCCAACCAGGTTGGGGGGTGGTAGTGAGGAAAGAGTTTCCTCTGCTGACGTGTTCCAAAGGAGTAATTATCCGCCTTCCCTAAAGATAAAAAGAAGAAACTCCAAGTGAGCACGTGGGTGGAGGGAAGCATGGGGGCAGGTGGATCGGACGGACCCGGCTGCTAGCTCTTACGTGAACCAAGCGTAACTCCACGGAACGAGGGGGCGAGCTGTACTTCCTCCGTGTTCATCTCTCCTGGTCTTCCCACCCTTCTCCCGCTTTCTGTTCTGTAGTCCTCTGCTACTCTCCTCACCTACTCTGCTAAAGCACATCGTGCACCTACTCGGGTTCGCACTGTGTACCGCGTTGCCAAGGGGACGTAGCGGCTGAGAGCCAGAGAGGTGGAGCCTAAGGCTGCTCTGAGTGCGCCTGCGCAGTAGACGGCCCAGCGCGCCGGTCACTTCAGAATTGCTCCCTAATTCAGTCTCTGGATTGAGGGTGGAGCTTGCTAGGCACCAGGTGGAAGGGCTGCGTGGGTGAGAGGGTGGCAAGCTTCTTCGGAAACATTCACGAGAAATGCAGTGCTGTAAAGGTAGGGGCTTGGGGTTCAGACCGCCCTAGTTCTGAACTAATGGGACCAGGAAAGCAGAAAACACGCAGTAACTGTGTTGACAAGAGATGTACAGCTGAACATTGGCAGGAGCAGAGGGGATGGAGGCCCGGGAGGGGAGTTGACAGCTAGGTCTCTATAAAGTCCGTCTTAGACCCATTTTTCTTTTTCCTCAAGCCAGAGAGAGAGAGAGAGAGAGAGAGAGAGAGAGAGAGGGAGGGAGGGAGGGAGGGAGGGAGGGAGGGGAGGGAACGTGTGTGTGTGTGTGTGTGTGTATGTGTGTGCACATCCAATTGCATGTGTGGCATTTGCAAGCAGGCGTCTATGGGAGGCCAGAAGAAGACGTCAGATCTGCTGGAACTTTTGAGCACTGGGAACCCAACTTGGGCTCTTCGTAGCAGTTGTCGGCCACTGAGCTACCTCTCCAGCCCAATTTTACAGATGAAATGAAAGTTTCTTTTTCTTTTCTTTTCCTTTTTTTTTTCAAGTGAAAGTTGGGCCCCTTAGTACAGACCTTTTATCCCAGCTATTCAGGAAGCTGAGGCAGGAGGATCACAGGTTCCAGGCCTTCTTTAGCTGCAGAGTGAGTTCAGTCTGCAACTTAAAGTGAGGACTACCTCAAAAGGAGAAACGAAAGGAGGGCTGGTGATGGCGCTCAGACCTGGAGAGAGTGAGTGCCCAGGATGCGTGAAGCCCTAGGTTCATTTCCCAAAGCTACCAAACAAGGAGAATGATGCTATTTTGGAAATTTTCAAAATCTTTTTCAGTTGACACATAATTATAACTATTCATACACTGTTTCAGTATGTGTATATATTATGTGATATTCAAATCGGGAAAAACATATCCATCTCTCCAAACATTTGTCGTTTCTGTGTTGCAAACTTTCAATTTCCTGTCTTCTGGCTGGAGAGAGCATTCTTTACCTAATCTTCACTGAGTGATGCCCTTGGCCAGTATAACAGATTTATATAAAGTTTAAGAAAAGCAATGGGATGCAATGGAACAAAAGAGGACACTAGTAGGAACAAGGTCTGGCCTTTATCATTATCATAATAATGTTGGAAAGGTGCTTTCTTAATTTTGATAATGTAACCAATACTGTGAGGTACTGATAATGGAGGAAACGGTAAAAAAAATTGTGAGAACTCTCTCTGTATATTCTATAATATTTTCGAACTGAAATGAAATCTAGTCTGATCCTAAAGAAATAAAGACAAAGAGAAGGAAAAGCATATCAAGGAGGCACATCACTCAGCTTATTCTGTAACACTTGCAAAATCCTGATGGTGGTATTTGCATTATAAGAAAATCTTTGTGAACATAAATAAAAAGAAAAAAATGAAAAAATTGAACAAATAAAATGCAATCTGTCATTTCATGACCAAGTTGTAGAATTCAAGGTTTGCTGTAAAATTTAAAAGTAAAACAAATATAGTTTCTTATATTAACTAAAATGTGATTATCTCAGTAGATAAAATAGCACAATACCTCATAATTTTAAGCATAAATCTTATTGTAAATTAGGATAAACTTCCTCAATCTGGTATTATTAATGATCAACATGTACAAAATGAACTTCATGATGAAAATATAAAAAATGTTAATCAGAGATTGGAAATGAGGCTTTTTACACACACACACACACCAGAAATAACTGTATATATATGTATATATATATATTACAGAAATAACAAAAAGGAAATACAGAATGATGAAATATATAATCATTTGGCTGCCATGAGAGTGGACATTGGTAAGACATACCAAAGCCTGTGAGTTTCCTGAGGAGCAGGATGATGGTGCAATACAAGAACGTTTTCTGTGACAATTTTTTTTTGATATATCAATCTAGCTAGGCTATAGTCTCTGATTATTTCATTAAAATTTTAGGATTTACTGTGAAGAGATTTTGGAGATATGATTAAATCCCTCATCAGTTGACTTCCAGTAAAGTTTATTCCTTGTAATTTTACAAGGATGGGATTTTAAAGGTACCATTGAGAGACAGGGTACAGTAAGGGAAGAAAAATTCCCTTACAATAGCATCAATCTGTGGAGTGATTGGCCTGCCTACATTTTTTATTTTAACTTTTTTCATTTTACATACCAACCCCAGTTTCCCCTCCCTCCCCTTCTCCTACCTCCCACCTTTCCCCATTCCACCCCTTAGAGTACGACATAAGGCCTCCCTTGGGGAAGTCAACAAAGTTTGACATGCCAAGTTGAGGTAGGACAAAGAACTCCCCAACCCTGTATCAAGATGAGCAAGATATCCTACCATAGGGAATGTTTTTCAAAAAGCCAGTTCATGGTCCCACTGCCAGAGGTCCCCCCAACAGATGAAGCAACATAATCGTCACCCACATTCAGAGGGCCTAGTTTGGTCTCATACAGTTTCCCTAGCTGTCAGTCCAGAGCCTATGAGCTCCCACTAGCTTGAGTCAGCTGTCTCTTGAGGTTTTCCCCATCATGATCTTGACCCCCCCCCCTTTGCTCATATGATCTTTCCTCCTCCTCTTCAACTGAACTCTAGGAGTTCAGCCCAGTGCTTGGCCTGCCCACATCTTGGACTTGCTTAGCCAGCTCCTTCAATCTGGAATGCACCTAGGTTGAGGATCTTCCTTGCAGATATCTTTTTAAAGACTGTTAAGCATTTGAATGGCAAGGACAGACTTGATTGAGAGACAATGCTGAAACATGACAATGGAACACAGCATAAGTTCCTGGAGAGGATCCTAGATGAGATAGCGTTATGACAGTTGGAGGAATTCAACAGCACGTGTACGAATTTAAGGGTAGGGCTGCCCTGCTGCTGGTTTGCAGAGCAGAAGTGCCATACAGATGAGGTCTCTGTATCTGCTAGGAGTTTCACTGGAGGCTTTCAGGAGGACTGGGTACCATGTCATAAAAAGTGTATTCAAAAGAAGACACACACACACACACACGAGAGAGAGAGAGAGAGAGAGAGAACACAAAACATCATTATACAATTGAAGAATTGGGATGAAAAGGTTGTGCAACTCTTCTTTAGGTTTGAAATTGTTTCAGAATAGTACCTTGAACAAAGAGATAGCATTTAGAAAATGAGAAGGCAAGCTACGATGTCAGAGAAGACAATGGCAACAAGGCATTGAGCATTTAATACAGAACCACTAAAATGTGTGGCCACTGAGTGCTTGAAACATGGCTAGTCCAAGTTAGCTAAGCTGTGTTAGTCAACACTCTTTAGTTGTGAGAAAATGCCTACAGAAAGGAATTTCAAAGGAAGACATGTTTGTTTTGGCTCATGGCTTCAAGCTTTTAGCTGTGGTTACTGAGCTTTGCTGGGTTGGGCCTGCACAGAGCAGGATGTTGTGACAGACCACGTGTGGAGAGCAAAGCTGTTTGCTCAATGGCAGCAAGGAAGTTGGGGTCTGGGGAGTAGGAAGCAGGGACAAGTTATATACTTCAAGGACATGCCCTCAATGACCTACTTCCTCTAACTAGACCCTACTTCTAAAGTTTCCAAAACTTGTCTGCAGCCCATCAAGCTATGAAGTCATGGTTGTTTAAACATATCCATGAGATCAGAGCCCTCATGATCCCGTCAGCTCCCAAAGGCCCTGCCTTTGAGCACTACTCATTGAGATCAAGTCTTCACAGGAGTTCCCAGGTAATGTTTCAGGTCCCAAACATAGCTGTAAGTGAAACACAGACTATATTTTAAAAACACACTGAACAAGATGTAAACTATCTGACTGAGTTTTGTGTTGATTACTTATTGAAATGAGAGTGTTTGGGGTTAAATCAAAACATGATTAAAATGAACTTCTTGTGTCTTGTTCTTTTAATTTGGCTACTTGAGAACTTAAAATTATATATGCAGCGTGTGTTGTATTTTTGTTGGATAACTCTGACCTAGAGTTAATAAAGTATTGTTACAAAGTAGTAAGGAAATCAGTTCATTTAGTAGAAAATGAACATGACTTGGGTGCCAACTTCACAAAAAAAAAAGAGCATTCACATAATTGGCAAGTATATAAAAGGTACCACCACCTGGTGATGGTGGTGGCGCACGCCTTTAATCCCAGTACTCGGGAGGCAGAGGCAGGTGGATCTCTGTGAGTTTGAGGCCAGCCTGGTCTACAGAGTGAGTTTCAGGACAGCTAGGATAGCCAAGGCTACACAGAGAAACTGTGTCTTAACCCCCCCCCCCCCCAAAAAAAAAGAAATAAAGAAAGAAAGAAAGAAAATGTCCCTATCTGAGAAGCTATAGAGGCAGCCTGAGATGAGATAAACACAGGGTAACCGAAAGCCTCAGGTGGATAAGAACGTGAGACAGTGGAAACTCCAGTCTGAACGTCTGGTGGATGTGATGGTTTGAATAAGATGCCCCATCAGTGTTGGGCATTCGAATACTTGCCCCCAGTTGGTAGCGTTTGGGGAGGAATCAACCTTGTTAGTGAAAGAATGCCACTGGGAGAGGACTGTGAGGTTTCAAAGACTCAGGCTGTTTGCTTGTTGTTTGTAGCTTGAAATGTGCTGTGCTTCAACAGCCTGGGATTTCTGGTCCGCTATCATAGACTGTAATCTTTGGGAACTATAAGCCCAGATAGGTGCTTTCTTCTATGAATTGCCTTGGTCATGGTGTTTTATCACAGTAAGAGAGAAGTAGCCGACACTGGAAATGTCAATCAGTTATTAAGTTCACTCTAGACAACCGGTGACCTTTGTAAGACTGACCAATGACAGCTCTATGGCCCCCTAATTCCTCCTCTTTGGCATTTTCTTGGCAGGAATGCACGCAACTGTGCCAAATAGTTAAGAGCCACATTGGTTATAAAAGTACTAAACTAGAAACAAAAACATCCGTTGATAACAGAATTGAAAAATGAATCATGGAATAATAATCTAAAGGACAACAATGGAAATGAAATAAATGTAAAGCCGTGATAGCATCCTGGGGCTGGGGAGATGGCTCAGTCAGTAAAATGCTTACTAGATAAGTATGAGAACCTGAGTTCAATGCCCAGGACACACATGAAGGGGCATGGTGGCATGTATTTGTAACTCCAGCACTGGCGAGGTGGAGACAGGATTATTCCTGGAGCTTGCTGGCTAGGCAACATCCTACTGAGAATCTCTGTCTCCATAGGTACCTGCACACATATATATTCACCTACTCACATGAACACAAAACAATGAAAAAAAGCCTGGGGGCCACCCATCATCAAAGACACTTCTCTTTGTAGCAGACTGAGGCCATTACAAGAAAACCACAACTGATCCATATATGGAGTAGTGGAGCCCAGTCACTATGGCTACATCTGCAGAACACGCCTGCACCTTAGGCTCAGGAACACCGTGGAAGAGGAGGGCAAGAGCAAGAGCAGAGGATGAGGGAATTTTCCGTGAGACTGTGTCTCCTAGTAGTGTCAGAAACTACATGCATAAAGTCTAAACATGATTGCTGAAACACGAGCTGAGCAAGGCCAACACAATAAACATGCTACATTGGACTGGGAAGGCTCAGGAGGCCTCTACACAAAACTACAGGCAGCAAAGGAATGCCAAGGGGGGAGAGATAGTTTCCTCCAAAGAAGGGCGCTCACGTTTGTTATCCAATACCAACATTTCAGGCCTAAAACATATATACAAGTAGCATTATACAGACTGAACAGGTTATATTTAGGAATATATACATATCTACATATATAAATATATAAATGTAACAACGATGAATGAAAAAAGAGGCCTTGAATTTAAAAGAGAGCAAGGAGTTTACAGGAATGTTTGGAGGGAGGAAAGGCCTGTCTTCCCCTTGGCCTTTCTTAAATGTCAGACTGCTATTCAGAAGTAACTGGAGAACATGGGCTCTGAGGTATCTCAGCCTGGTGTGCACTAAGGATTGGTTTGTGTTTCCTAGCTTCCCGATCTGGTGGGAGCTACTCAAGAGGCCTTATGGACTATGGCAGGAGCCATGTCTTTCCTCCAAGGGCCGCCATGAGACTGGAGGAGTCCCCACGGGGGCAGATCATGCCGAGTGAGCGTAAACTTGTTAATTCACAGCCGGACTCACACTTCCAGGGCACCTGCCAGCTCCAAGGGTATTTTTGTTCTAATTTTTCTGCTTGGAGAATTCTCTTTGCCAAGGCTTTTTGGCACAATTAGCAGAGATTTCTTCTTTTCCTCAAGGACCAGGTTCCTCACGTGATCTCTACCTTTTTTTTTATTTTTAAAAATTTAAGTTTACATACTAGCCCCAGTTCCCCCTCCCTTCACTTCCCTTGACCCCCACCTCCCCCATCTCACCCCCATCCACTCCTCAGAGGAGATAAGGCCTCCCTTCTCTGTCTGCCCTGTCTTGTTGCAATTTATCTCCTACCGTGAAGGGATTTCTTTTCTACATATACTATATAATGATGAGCATCATTACCAAGACTGAAGTTCCAAAGGAATGGATGATTTTGCCGCGTGAGTTCACTGTCTTTGGTCTTGTCAGGCGGGTCATCTGTCTTAGGGTTTTCAGATGTCTCGAGAGGTTTGGGCCATAGCTGTAGTATATGGGAACTTTCAGGAAGCGTGGGTTCCACATTTACTGTCTGCATGAGACACTCCTCTCCTGATGGCTTTTAAGCAAGAAAATGAGAGGTGCTCTCAAGACTGGCTGCTAAGCAACAGCCCTGCCCTAGAAGTTTCCCTTCAAGTCATTGTGACACTGTTTTCTGCAAAGCTGGGAAGCCTGATTGGAGTAGTAAGTCTATTGTGACTTACTGCTTGTCAGTGACCAACAACAGGGTCCTAGGCTCACTCCCTTCAACTCTGGTACAACTTAATGTGCCTTGTTCATTTCTACCAGAGGGGTTTGTTCTCACTATAACTGTGCCTGAGAAACTCTTCCCAGGTGAGAAAATTGTTGGCTGCTTTTGGCTTTGGTAAAGATCTTCCCACAAGAGTCATTGTCTAGGACTGGAGAAGTCAAAGTATTGTTATTCACTGATCACTTTTAAACATGAAACACTTTTAAAGATGAAAGCTTCTTCATTTCCTTCTTTATTTACTGTTCAACATGGCAGAAGCAAAATATCATCCCCCTGTACAAGGAGATTAGTCTTTCTTACCGCTCTGCCTTTCCCACTTCGGGTGGTACCCGGCATGTAGTAATAGGAAGTGCTTGGAGTTTATGGTGAAGGGCGTTATCCAGAGAGAGGACTGCCTATCAGTCGCCAGCGCTCTCATCTCTCATGAGATCTCTGTGCTTGGTGTTAGGGGATGCAGTGAAACAGTAGATAAGGCTCCAAACTGTGGTTGCCTGGCTCTGGCTCTGGCTTTACAAGGAACCAAGCTTCTCCAGGTCTTGGTTTCCAGGAAGCAGTAGTATCCATCTTAGGGGGCTGCGTGAGAACTAAGTAAGAAGGGGCATGTTCAATACATCAAGCTTGAGCTGCATGTGGTGGCATCTGTCTGTAGTCACAACTGCTCCAGAGGTTTAGGGAGGATCGCTGAGCCCAGGATTCTGAGACAGGTCTGGGCTATACAGGGAGACCCATCTTAAAAGACAAGAAACAAAACCCAAAATAGTTTGACACATAAAGTGGATTCTGGAATCTACAGTGGATTCTGGAGAAAAAAAAAACAGAGCCATGTATATTCTTACTACATGAAGATTCTTTTAATTGTAAGTAAGAGACACGCGAGTGCTTTAAGGAACAAAGGAGGACTGGATAGTTAAAGGGGAGTCTTAGAGACTCTACAGGTAGAAGTGCAGCTGGCTTCATGAAGGGACTAGAATCAGCACCTATGAAGCCGTAGGCAAGTGCTCGCACTAGATCTACCATTCCAGCTCTCACACGTAGAGTAACTTTCTCTTTCCCGTGTTTCTCTACAGCCCCTGAGCTTACATTCTGCCACTCTTAGTGACTAACAGACCCACAGTTAATCTCAGTTGTGAATTCCAGGAAGTGATAATCTAATCTGCTTCATTGAGTCTAATGGCCAGTTAACCAGATAGCCATGTGAGGGGTGACAGCAACTGTCAGCCACCACTCTGGTTTTAAGTACAGTACGTGTTCTTAAAAAAAGGCTCCTGCTAGCTCATATTCTGGGCAGCTACCCCATGATGCATCCGCGGCCCCTCCATGATGAGTCTCTGAACACTCACCAATCCTGGCAGCACTAGAGCAGCACCTGGGCTTTCAGCAGAAGCAGGATGATGTTCGGGGCTTCCGATCTTAGACAAGACAAGCTGTGCTGCTTACGCTCACGAGTCCAGCACTCACTCAGGCTTCTTCCTGAAAATGGTCACTGAAAAGGGTCACCACGCTACAGCCTGCCTTGCAAATGTCCTCATCTTGTCCTGTGCACCAACAGCTTTATCATTTCCTTCCCGTAGCCTCAGCCATCACGCAGATGTGCACAGGCAGACAGAAGACGGTAGGGTGGTGGCTCCACTTTGTTCTCCCAGTCTTTCCACCTCTCGCCTGAAGCAGCTGGCGTTTCCACACTGGGAAAGGTTTTCACCAAATTGCAACTCCCTTCCCCCGCCAAGGGAGCTCATGTTTTGACTGTTGATTTTATTTTAGTTCGTTAGGTAGATTCAAGATGACCTTTGCAAGGAGCAAAAGAGACTTCAGAATCCTGGGAAAAACAGATAGGGACACATAAAGTGAGCCTACAGTTTCTTCATCACAGGTTGCTTTGAGGAGAAGGTCCGTTTGGAAATTGTGCTGGGATGAGATTCCAATTGGGCAGTGACAGAAGACTTTTTGATTATTCTCTTGGCCCAGCTGACACAGAATCTACTGCCTCAGTGTCTGTCTTCCAGCTCCTACCTCCACTGTTTAGAGGAGCATTTACTTGCCGAAGGTCTGAAACTGAGGCCATGCAACCTGAGAAACACAGCACAAGATGATGAGCAGGGACCCTCATGCAATGGCAGGCTTCGGCTGGAGGTGAATAAACGTTTGGCCATGGTGGCCTTGACTGGGGCTTAGATCAGAGGATAATTCTATGCTCAGGATTTAAGAAGTGATATCAACCCAAGTCCTTACACATTTCTCGGTCCTCCTATCTTACCTCAAAGCCAGCTGGACTTGGAATGAAAATAAATATTTTTTTCTATATAACTCATTGAAACATACTTGCTGAGTACCTACTATATAAAGTAAAAAGCTTTAAAGATTAGGTAAAAAATGCCCCAATATAAAAAACAATCTGTATAGTGACATGAGAGTACTGTTGAGCCTTCCTGTTAAATCTCCCCAGAGAGGGATAAGTGAGACATCAAAGCTCAGCCCCATAGAGACACAGATGCTTATGGTGATGGTCAGCACAACTTCTGTAGACTGTTGCATTTCACAAAGACTTCGGAGACCTGGACCCTGCTTCCAGGTGTGCTTGGCTTGCCTTAAAGGTATACTATCCCTGGCATGGAAGTTGAGGGTTTGTAAAAGCTCACTGACTGGCACTTGGACAAGAGCAGTGGAATGGAGTGGGAAGAGTCTCCGTGGGCAATGGAGAGAGGCATGTCACGACTCCCCTTGAGTTGATGGGGGAATGTTTGCCTACCCTTGGCATGTCCCTGCTGTTACATACTTTTACTGTGCACTCTGAGGGTTTTCTTCAGGGCAGACGTTAGAGGGAACTGTCCCTGGTTGCAGAAAGCACCAGTGAAGTCATCCATGTCCAGGGTCCATAGCATGGCACCTCCCAAGTTGTTCTGTTTAAGCCATTCGGCCTGTTTAAGGCTAGAGGACAAAAGTCATTTGATTTCTTGAAGCTCAGGGTTGGGCCCTCAGAACACCCATGGGACTGACTTTACCTTGATATGAAAGCTCTTCACATTATCATAGCCAAACCATTTATTGCCCTGATAGGCATAAGGTACTTCCTGGTCAGCATCCCAGGCCTCAGTGGCTCCATCATTTAAGAAGATGCAAATCTTTAAAAGTCATGAGATAATAATCCTTTAAATATTTTGTCATGCAAGAGAGAAAGGTACACTTTATTTTTTTCCTTTAATATATGTATCTTGGGGAGGTTTCCAGTGGCTTTTATTTGGAGTTATGAAGTTTGAGATAGTTTTCTTTTTGTGGTTCTGGGGATGTAACACATGGTATGGCTCATGCTGCAGGAGTACTCTGCAACTGAACTTCATTCACAGCCCATATTTTTAATTACTTATTTGCTTTTTGGTAGAGTCTCAGTCTATATCCCAGACCTCAAACTGTTGACTCCTTTGCCTCTGAATTCTGAAAACTGATATTGCAGCTTAATATATACAGCCCCATAGCAGACAGAAATATTCATGACATATCATTGTACACTATGATACATACATCTTTAAAATGTATGGTGATGGAACCCAGAGCCATACTCATTAAGGCAAGAGCTGGACCACTGAGCAACACCCTCATCTCATGCTGCTTTCAAATGCTCATTCACCATCCATGTTGTAGGGTTGGCGTTTTAGAGTCTGTAGCAATATGGGGCATACATCCATTTATCACTTTATTTATCCATATAAATAAACTTAAGAATCTTGTCTGTTGTACGAAGGGTTATTATATATTGTTAACTCCTCAGTTTTAAAAATATATTCTATATATACAAAACTTTTAAGTATTTGGAATGATACTTTGTTGACAGACATGGCTTGTTCATTTTATGGCTTCCCAGACCCAAAATAATCACACAGAAACTATATTAATTAAATCACTGCTTAGTCTATTAGCTCAGGATTTTTACTAACTCTTACATCTTAAATTAACCATTTTTTAATTTTATATTCTTTGGGTGGGCTACTCAGTCTAGGGTTAGTAACCCGCCTGGCAGTTCAGTTATTCCAGGGTCCTGGAGAGGCACTATCTGTAAGATATGAGCTAAGAGAGAGGAAGGAGGCCATACTAAGTTTGTCAGAGCCTCCGTTTATTAGAGATGGGGTACAGCTTATATAGAGTAAGGAGTTGGGGGGTGGGCACAGGGGCCTGGGCTCTTGCCGTGTGGTTCATGTTAGTCATGTGGTCCAGGAGGTTACGTTCAGTCAAGTCACCTAGGCCAGGAAGTCACGAGCTGACACACCTAGTTCTCTAGATAGTTAGGAATGTGGGGTGAGTTCCTCTAACAGATAGCTCTCCATTAACAGCCAATTTGGGTGTGGGGTAGGCTCTGTCAATAGAACGATTCCTAACACAATTAGGGGTGTGGGGTTCTCTGCAGACTCCCCAGGGTGATGGTTCCTGCAATGATTTTAGGAGGAAATTGGCTCCTGACATATATTTTACTACAAGGCTTGTGGTTTACTGGTAAGATTCTGGCTGGCAGCTGTCTCCTTCGGCAGCTACATGATATCTTTCTGACTTCTTCTACACTCTTTCAGTATCTCTTCCAGCCTGGCCATATTCTACCCTGCTATAGGCTGAAGCAGCTTTTTTTTTTTATTAACCAATGGTAATAAAACATATTCACCACATACAGAGGGAAATCCCACATCAATACTCTGCTTAGAGCAGGTAGATACTGGACATAATGAACATTCAAATTCAGCAGATTGCTAGTCCTCAACCCCTGGGCAACAAGCCCAGCTCTGGGCCTGATATTCGCAGAGAACTGTATAGACAATCTACTGACCTCATAATAGGCCAAGATGCTGGACTCCTCTGTGTAGGGCCCTAGTGCCCCAGCACTAGCAGTGGGCACGCCGATTCCAGTGCTGGAGGGGTCACTCAGGGTGAAGGTTTGTCCATATGCTGGGAATCCAACAATGAGCTTCTCAGGAGCTGCTCCATTTTCATCCCAGTAAGTCATGATGTAGTCCTGCAGGTATATAGGTTAGCTGTAGGCCTTAGGTAGCCAGTGTCCTGTGCTGGGTTATGCTAGTTCCCTGTTCTAACTGCTCAAATTATATATTGAAAATTTTATTAGTTTTCTTTCCAGAATACTTCACTGAAGTTGTAGTAAAGGAGGTATACAAGAACACTGCATACTCACAATTTGGTTTTTTAATTTTGTGATGAATCTCTCATGATTTGGACCATTTCCAGTCTGCATTTGCATCTGTGTAGGGTCTTACCACATTGAGGAAGGTGTTGGTGCCGGTGTCATGTAGGGATTTGTAGAGGGGACTGTTTCCCCCAGTGTAGCCATCCTGGGAGCCATAGAGGTTGTAAGTCATGACCTGGATGTAGTCTAAGGAGCTGTGGATGAAAGATGATGTTTAAATAATTTCTGATGATCATTTGCCATTCCTATATGCCAGGAAAATGTACCCTTACAAAGCCTATAAACCAAGTCCATGTGCAACAAAGCATCCCAAGGATGAAGATCTGTTGCTTACATTCCCTCAAGAATTCCTGAACAAGGTAGACAGCTTACTGTGACAGCTGGGGGATCTCATAGCCAGACTGGATGAGGGAGACAACACCAGCTACCGTGGCAGTGATCATCAGCCTGGGTCTACTGTTCTCAAAGGCTTCTTCCTCAAAAGCTTCATGCATTTTCTACAGAATATTAACATACAGTAGACAACGTTACAAATTCATTTCAGTTCTTCTAATAACAAGTCTATATTTTTAAAAAGTACTTTCCCATTTTTGTTTTACATTTTTCTGTCATTACCTCAATAAAGGCAGTAGCGCAGATGGTGTTAAGAGTCATTAAATATTCATGGGGTTTAGGACTTTATTATGTCCCCTCTAAAGTTACTAGCTATTCATCCAAAATCTAGATTCCAAATGACTGAGAGCTTTGCCACCATCGCCACATTCTGAAGCATCCCTTGCTGCAGTTCCCTAAACCCAGCTTTCAGAGGTGGAGAAAGGTTTTCCCTTTTTGAGTAGCTGAAGTTTATCATAGGACCAATACCTCATTAAATGAAATGCAAAGTTAACTAAGGGAGAAGGTGGTAATGGCTAGGTACCAAGTGCAATTTAGTGCCAGATGGTAATCTTCCTCTACTTTATGTGACTTTCATCTTGCATGAAGTATTGTATTGGGGTTATCTCTTGTAATTGCCTTGTTTCAGAGTACCTGGTCATCTTCCAAAAGAATGCTCACAGAAATTGCTGTGTGTGCTAGTGGTCAAGTGACTAGGACATTTTACTAGATGAAGAGCATTATAAGAAGGGGGTTGGAGCTGTCTTGAAATATTAACCCCATATATTGCAAGATATTTGCTTTTATATTGTGCTGTTGTAGTGAAAAGATCTATAACTTTTGCCTGGAGGTATGCTCCAATTAAAGAAAGAAATAACATGCCAGGCGGTGGTGGCGCACGCCTTTAATCCCAGCACTCGGAAGGCAGAGACAGGCAGATCTCTGCGAGGTCGAGACCAGCCGGGTCTACAGAGTGAGTTCCAGGACAGGCTCCAAAGCTTCAGAGAAACTTTATTTCAAAACACACACACACACACACACACACACACACACACACACACACACACAGAGAGAGAGAGAGAGAGAGAGAGAGAGAGAGAGAGAGAGAGAGAGAGAGAGAAAGCCAGGAAACTAGAAAGGGGCCATTGGGGACACAGGGAAGGAAGACAGAGTTTAAGGGAGTGAGTGAGGATAGAATAATAAACAACAAATAGTTCAGAGGGGAAAGGGGAATAATGAGAAGGGGTAAGTGTGGAGTGGGATGTTAGTGTAGAGTACAATAGGGGTAAGAGGAAGGATAACTTACTAAGAATGTTTGATAAAATCATATGGAAGCCTACCATTTTATAAGCTTCTTAAAATACATTTATCAAAAAAGCTTAATTGGAGTTGCTTACATGGGGGTGGTGTAAGGGCTCCTCCCAGAAGCCATAGGTTATCAAACAAAAACCCAGTGCCAGACGTGGGATACAGGTCTTCAAGTTGTTGCTCAGGGCATCCCAGAGACCCCCAGGACAATACAGTACCCAACAATACCATTGCTGTTGGGTACTGACTAGAACTTGACAGAGAGATGCTATCGCTAAGAGCATCGCACACTTTGATCATAGGATGTAGAGAAGTCAGTCTGGTGCTGACCTGGAAGCTCCCTCCCTGTTGGCTAGTTTTCATAGACCAGAAGGCACTGTGAAGGCTGGTGGGGAAGAAAAGCCATCAAAAGTTGTGCCAGCTATGATCCAGTAACAAGTGGCCTGAAAAGATATGTCAGCAAGTACAGCATAGGCACAGATTTTTATGGGGCAAAGCAACACCATTCTAAGCCCTGCTCTAAGGAGGGGAATACACATCTGGTACTGTAAGGAAATCTAGCCAAGAATCTGTGAGTTGGGGAGTAATAGAACCTGCAAAGTACTGTCTTCCTAAGGAACCGCTTCCTAAATAATTTATCCTCGTACCCACAGACCAGTGCAACTCTTATCCCTCACCAGGGAAGCTTCTTTACACAGCAAATGGCAGTTAATACAGACTGACAACAGGTGGAAAGTGTTCTGCTCTAAAGAGGCTTTCCGGATCACACCCCCTACCCCAAAGCTCAGGGAACGTTGGAGAAAAAGTGGAGCCGGAGGTTGGGGGAAATTGTTGAGAAATAATCTCGACGATGGGACTGTTGCACCCACGAACGTACGAAAAAAGACGCACAAGGTCAAGCCAATCAACAGAGGGAAAGAGAATCCGTTTTTCTCAGTTGTATGGGCCATGGTAGTTTGCCCATGTTCCAGTAGATGGCGCCATACACCCATGTAAATATGAGCAGCAGAGCCACTGAAGTTGGGAGTGGAATGAAGGAAGTCTGGGGAGAATTGAAGGTGGGTAGCAGTGGGGGAGGTGAAGAATATGATCTAAGTACAATGATTTATACATAATATCACCAAAGAATAAATATGAATAAAGATAAAGAAATGGAGTTACTGAATCTGATAATTAGAGCTATTGGGCAAAAGTAAGCTGGCAGACTCAGTGAGTTACTCAGTGCTAAAATTCTCCAGAGGCTGCCTGACGATTTAGTATATGGTGCCATATGGAAATAATTTGTCATGGTGGATATAGAACAGTGGTTCAGATTCTGCCAAAAAACGAGTAGAAAATAGAAGTAAAGAATGGAATAAATTAAAAGCCGTCTGTCATCTTTGACTTCATAATCTAGTCATTTTGGCTTGGTGATCACCCCTCTGGTTGATGACACCAGTCCATTAAGTCAAGTCCTTTCCCATGAGCTCTAGATATGTATTCATGCAATGCATCCTGGCCATTCAGACCCATCCCAGTCTCTATGTTCGGATGTAAAGGAATCAGTTCTCCCACTCCGAATCCACCTTTGCATCATCTTAACCAATCCATTTTTGCCCATATACTTCTTTAAGTCAGGAAACTGTGGATCTTCTATATCTATAGTATATACTATACTATAAATTTATCCCCAGGTCCTACTGGTTTCTATATTCAGATGACTCTCCTTCCCTCAGTGTAAAAGCATTGCTTCCTCTGATCACCTGTCCCTTAATTTACATCAGTAGCTTCCACTGGAACTTTGCCTGCTGACTCGCCTTGCTTGTGTTTAATGTCAAGCAGGAAGTCAAAACCAAAAGTTCGGCCACCGTTTCTCCACTGTGTATAATCCTTCACAGTATTCCCAATTATCTAGAGGGAGAATTCCCAGTTCTTTAGCTGAAGGACCTGCATGATCAGGTTGTTGCTGCCTGTGCAAACTCAGACTCTTTCTCCCAATCACTTGATCACTGGTCTCTGAGTTTTTGTGACTTGCCCATTCTGACCTAATTGGGCAGTGCTAATGTTTTCCCAAGGCTAAGATTAGGTATCACGGTGGTAGGCTCTTTCTGATCCTGCTTCACACGAACTTCTCTGGGTTTCCTGGTATTTATGCTAATCACGTGTCTGCAATTGTTGGTTCAGTTTCAGCATTCTGACTCACACTGAATGTTCTTTAAAGTTGGGATTTTGCCTTATTCTTATTTTAAGCCTAAACCAATATGTGCCACAGAGCATGTATTACTCTGATAACAACAGATTGTCTTATGTAATTGTTCTGGCATTGAACTCTGTTGTTCAGAGTATATAAGCTACGATATATCCTTAGTTACTTATCTGCAGAATGAATATCATAATGCTTATGGTACTTTTATCATAGAGTACTTAATACAGAAAGATCCGTGCAAGTTCAACCAGACAAAATACTAGCATGGAGTGCGGAGGTGGTCAAGAAATTCCATCCCTAGTGAAGATTATTGGTGATTAACAGTTTCCAGGAGCAGTTAGCTTTAATTAAGGGTGTGGCCTTTGATAGCTAGGACATGCTCCAGCAGATAGCCATCTAACCCAGAGTACAGAAACAGCACTAATTGAAATAGTGCATGTGTGTTTTCGTGTTTAAATTACACAAAGCTAGGTGGATACAGAATAGGGGGTAGATCTGCGAGAAGATGAGGGAGAGGAAGATATGATCAAAAGACAACGTGTGATATTCTCAAATAATTAAAATATGCATTAAATGCGAATATGAGTCATCATCCCTAAAATGATGTGATATGTCTGGAATGCAACCTGTTGAAGGGGTATTTAATACAGAAGGATCTTTGCTATGCTAAGGTCTGTACGTCTCAATTCAGTTGAGTTTGTTTTACTGTGTACCACCCAGTTCTCCCCAGAAAGAACATACTTTGAATCTTCTGGGACTGAAGACACTTTCTCCTTTTCCTGCTTTCCTCACCTGCACCAGGACGATGAAGAGATGCTTGTCCTTAGCAGGGCTCCCATGAGATCCAGGGAACTGCCAGTCCAGGTTCAGCCCATCAAACCCATACTGGCGCAGGAATTTGATGACTGAGCTAATGAAAGTCTGGCGGTTGTGAGGAGTGGAGACCATGGCGCTGAACCTGACAGAGACCAAAAAAAAAAAAAAAAAAAAAAAGGCAGGGTAAGGCCTCTATAATATTAACACATTGGAATAAAAACACTTTACAGCCCAAATTCTACTTCTGTGCCCTTTACTAGGACGCCTCAACCTGACGAACACTTGTTCCTATTTTGCCCCAGCCTTCCTTTGCAATCATTACTCTTGCTTGCCTCAGGACTCAGCATTTCCTTTGTTTATTTTTTTTCTTAAGATGTGTGGCCATGTTAACTTACCATGCTGTCTTGAAACACCCTCCAAATTCATGTGCTCTCAAAGAAGTCTTATTTAAGAGTAGACTTTTATTTTTCCTTTTCCAAAAGACAAAGGCATTGTACAAAGCCTTCTCAAGTCATTGTGACCTTGAAATACTCTAGGTAAAAGTGCTTTGTGTTGTTCTTTTTTTAAAAATGCTCCAAGATCCCCGCGGCAGTAGGCAGCAGACATGCTGTAGGTTCCAAATGGTGGCGGCGGGCCATGTGGTGGCAGGCAGCGGGCCCTGGGAGCAGCCAGTCCCAGGCAGAAATGGCTGCCGGTCCCAGAGAGGTGGTCTGAGCGGTGGTGGTGGCGGGCCATGTGGCAGCAGGCAGTGGGCCCCAGGCAGAGACGGCTGCTGGTCCTAGGGCAATGGCTGGTTCCAGGCAGGGAGACACATGGCGGGAAGGCAGAAGACAGAAACATGGATAGACACGACATGCAGGGTGAGGTTGTTTATTCAGGGGGTTATGGAGGAGGAAGGGTGAAGGGGGGGGACAGAGAGAGAGAGAGAGAGAGAGAGAGAGAGAGAGAGAGAGAAGAGGAGAAAGAGACAGAGAAGGGGGAAGCAGAGAAGTGCCTCTCAGAGAGGAAGATGGAAAAGAGAGCGAGCTCAGGCTGGAAGCTGAAGATCAGCCTGCCTCAGCGGATGGGGAGGGGAATGGGTGTGGCTTGTCTCTTAAAGGGACCAAAACCATAACATTCCCAGGTCTTCCTTATAATAAAAAGCACAAACGTCAAGGAAGCAGTAAAGGAAGGGCCCAAGATGGCGGCGGGCAGGTCAGAGGTAATGGGAGTGGGCGTGGCTTGTCCCTTAAAGCGACAGGAAAGCACAACATTTTGGAGGCAGGAAACTGATGCTCCAAGGGTTCTGTACTTTGACAACATAGTAATCTTTTCAACATATTCGGCTTAGAAGTAAGGTTCCAGTTAATTTATAGCATTAACACAGTCACTTAGTGGATGCCTCCAGCACCTCTGATGTTGTGAAGTACAGCAACAGAGGCTGGTTGGGCTATCTTGCTTTCAATAGTAAATGAACAAGTGGCTTTCTAGAGAGAACTTACGGGGCAGGTCCAAAGTCCCAGCCTCCAATGGCCAGGAGGGTTTTCAGTTGGGTGTTCCTTAAAAGCAAAAGATAAAGAACGATTTTAAAATCCATAGGTTCCCCCATTTAGGTAATACAACTGATATTACTTGGTGTTTCCCTGACAAGATATAACAAACTATAGTACAATTTTCTTCCATTACCATAAACTAACTGTAAAATGAAAAAAGATTGTTTTCTTTTTTAAAAAAAATTGTGTTATACATCTATATTTTAAATGCAGTTATATTTTTGTTCAGAAATTAATATTTGCTATTTCCTAATCAAAAGTTTAGTACTACACAGTTCTTAGATACATACATACATATGTGTTTGGGTGTTTTATTTTGGGGGCAGGGGAGGGTTGTATTTTCTTTTTTTTAGAAAGAACTTAAAGTTGGGTGGGTGGGAAGGAGGAGGGAGAGGTTCTAGAAGGGCTTGGGGGAAGGGAAGTATATGATCAAATATATTTAACATTTTTAATAATAAAAATATAATAGCTAGGTGGTGGTGGTGCACACCTTTAATCCCTGCACTTGGGAGGCAGAGACAGGTGGATTTCTGTGAGTTCAAGGCCAACTTGGTCTACAGAGTGAGTTCCAGGAAAGCCAGGAATGTTACAGAGAGACCCTGCCTCAAAAAGCCAAAAAAAGGGGATATGAGCACTCATAAGAAAATCCATATAACTTATCTATGAATTTTTAACATTAATAATTTTATATAACAGGAGTTTCCATGACTTAAATTAGAAACATTGATATACTTGTTTGAACATATCCTGTTTTATTTTTATGTGCTCCAGGGTAGATATTTATGGCACTATCTACTTTTATCTTAACCGTAAAAATCTAAGAAATTAAATTTTCTGTCTCACATTTTCTCTAATATGTGGTGGGCTCTAGATGTGTGTGTGTGTGTGTGTGTGTGTGTGAGAGAGAGAGAGAGAGAGAGAGAGAGAGAATAGAAATAGGGTTGAGGAGATGAATAAGCTTTTAAAGCAATTGCAAAGATGTGTAAAGACGAGAGTATGAGAGTTTGGGCCCTAGAACCTACAGATGCCAGGCAGACATGGTGGCTTGTCTGTAATTCCAGCCTCAGAAGACAGAAATGGATCCCACACACATGTGGTCATGAACATAAATGCATGCATGTAAACACACGGACACAGGTGAATGGAAAAAAGATAGAAAGGGAACTGTGAGGATAGGAAAGGAATTTAAGGGGCAGAGAAGAAAGAAAATAGCAGAACACATGTGACATGAAAGTAGAAGGTAAATTACTTAGCCGGGAAAATATCAGTGAGAGAGAAAGGCAGGGAGAAGGAGAGAGAGGAGGAGGGAGGACATGAATAAATATATACACAGTATTATGACACAAATGGTGACTTGCCATAATGAAACCAGTTACTTTGTATGATAATTTCAAAATACCTGAAAATGAGTAAAAACACCCCTGCACTTTAGAATGGGAGAAAAATATTTGGAATCCACACATCTGATAAGGAGTTAGCATTAAAAAAACCAGGAACTGGATTTATCCCATGCTTTTTCAGACCTAGAAAAAGCATGGGATAAATCCGGACTAGCTGAACATAGCGGACAATGAGGAATACTGAGAACTCAAGAACAATTGCAGTGGGTTTTTGATCCTACTGCACGTACTGGCTTTGTGGGAGCCTAGGCAGTTTGAATGCTCACCTTACGAGACCTGGATAGAGGTGGGCAGTCCTTGGGCTTCCCACAGGTCAGGGAACCCTGATTGCTCTTCGAGCAGATGAGGGGGGGGGGGACTTGATCGGGGGAGGGGGAGGGAAATGGGAAGCGGTTGTGGGGACGAGGCAGAAATCCTTAATAAATAAATAAATTAAAATAAAAAAAAAACCAGGAACTGGAAGAGAACTGTTGACAAATGAGAAAAGAGTCTGACTGGGCATTTCTCACAGAAGGTAAACGGCTAAGAGGTGTATGAAAGCGAACACACACAGATACCCTGAACATCATTACTAATCGGAGCTACTCAGGTTAGAACTGCGTTGACTGATCACCTAACACCTGTTAGAATGGCTAATAGGAGAAGATGAAAGGTAACCAATGTTCTCAAGATGTATAAAGAAATCGCTGCAATGTAAATGCAAAGAACAAAAGGCCTAGAGAGAGCACTGTGTAGATTCTTCACAAAATACACACAGATTGCACATGATTCATCAACACCGCTATCCAAAGGAAATGAAATCAGTGTTTTGAAGATATAGCGCTCAATAGTATTCATTAACATTGACTAGTAAGATCCAAGATATGGAACCCCATTAAGTGTGCACCAATAGTCGAGTGGATAAAAAGATGTACTATATATACGATATAAATTATTCAGCTATAAAAATAATGAAACCCATCGTTTGAAATAATGTTTGTGAATTTGAAGGGCTTATTAAGAGAAATAAACAACACACAGAAAGGCAAGTAGCACATGATAAGACTTATAAGTGGAATCAAAGCTATTTGAACTTGTCAAGAACAAAAACAGAAAATAGAACAGTGGTTTTTGGAATTGCATTGGAAAAGAAATATTGGAAATACTTTGGGCAGGAGAGATGGCTCAGAGGTTAAGAGCACTCGCTGCTCTTCTAGAGTACTTGGGTTCAGCTCCCAGCACCCACAAGGCAGCTCACAACCATCTGTAATTTTAGTTTCAGAGGACCTGATGTAAGCTATGGATAGGAAAATCTGGACACTAACCCAGTCATAAAACCTTTTACCTGCAATCTGTCATGCCTGTAAGATATCCTGGGGCAATGTTGGCACAGAACTTGTGGGAGTGGCCAACCAATGTTTGGTTTAACTTGAGGCCCATCCCATGAGAGTGAGTCTATATCTTGCACTGCTTGGATGGCCAGGAACCAGAGACTAGACAGCCCAGAGGCCTAAGGTAGAACCAGATATGACTGGCCAAAAAAAAAAATTAAATCAGTGAAATTGAAATGATTTCCAATGATAATCTTCTATCCTTACAGATCATAGATTGTTGCCTTATCAGAGAGGCAGCAGATGGGAGCAGGTGCAGAGAACCTCCACCAGTTATGAGAGGAGAGAGAGAGAGAGAGAGAGAGAGAGAGAGAGAGAGAGAATGGAGATATTCATTGAATTCCTTCCCTAAGAGATCAGGGAACCCCCAGGAAGACAGGTAGGAAAGATTAGAGTCAGAGGTTATCAAGGACACCAGGAGAAAGAACATGACCCACTGAACAACTAAGTAGAGCTCACATGGTCTCACAGAGACTGAAGCAGCAAGCACAGGCCAGCTTGGGTCTTCACAAGGTCCTCTACATATATGTTATGACTATTAGCTTGGTGTTTCTTGTGGGACCCCTAAAAGTGGAGGTGGGTGTATCTCTGACTCTTTTGCCTGCTCTAGGGACTGGTTTCCTCCTATTGGGTTGACTTGTCCAGCCTCTATATGAGGGTTTTCACCTTGTCTTATTGTTTCTTGTTTGAGGCATGTTATTTTCTGAGGAAACAGAGGAGGAATGGATCTGAGGGAGAGCAGAGATATGGGAGATAAGGGAGGAAAAGATGGAGGTAAAACTGTGATCATGCTCCATCTCCTTAGCGAACAGGGAAATGCAAATGAAAACAACTTTGAGATATCATCTTACACCTGTCAGAATGGCTAAAATCAAAAACACCAATGATAGCTTTTGCTGGAGAGGCTGTGGAGGAAGGGGTACCCTCATCCTTTGCTGGTGGGAATGCAAACTTGTGCAACCACTTTGGAAAGCAGTGTGGCGTTTTCTCAGGAAATTCGGGATCAACCTACCCCTGGACCCAGCAATACCACTCTTGGGAATATACCCAAGAGAGGCCCTATCATACAACAAAAGTATATGCTCAACTATGTTCATGGCAGCATTGTTTGTAATAGCCAGATCCTGGAAACAACCTAGATGCCCTTCAATGGAAGAATGGATGAAGGAAGTGTGGAATATATACACATTAGAGTACTACTCAGCGGTAAAAAACAATGACTTCTCGAATTTTGCATGCAAATGGATGGAAATAGAAAACACTATCCTGAGTGAGGTAACCCAGACCCAAAAAGAGGAACACGGGATGTACTCACTCATAATTGGTTTCTAGCCACAAATAAAGGTCAGTGAGTCTATAATTTGATATCCTAAAGAAGCTAAATAAGAAGGTGAACCCAAAGAAAAACATATAGCTATCCTCCTGGTTATGGGAAGTAGACAAGATTGCCGGGCAAAAAATTGGGATCGTGGGGGTGGGTTGGGAGGGGGGTAAGGGGAGATGGGGAGAGAAAAGTGAGAAGGGGAGTATGGGGGGAACTTGGGGAAACGGGATGATTGGGATAAAGGAAGGTTGGATAGGGGAGCAGGGAAGCACATATCTTAATTAAGGGAGCCATCTTAGGGTTGGCAAGAGACATGGACCTAGAGGGGCTCCCAGGTGCCCAGGGTGATGTCCCCAGTTAGTTCCTGGGGCAGCTGAGGATAGGGAACCTGAAATGACCCTATCCTATAGCCATACTGATGAATATCTTGCATATCACCATAGAACCTTCATCTGGCCATGGATGGAGATAGAGACAGAGACCCACACTGGATCACCAGATTGAGCTCCCAATGTCCCAATGAGGAGCAGAAGGAGGGAGAACATGAGCAAAGAAGTCAGGACCACAAGGGGTGCACCCACCCACGGAGACAGTGGGACTGATCTATTGGGAGCTCACCAAGGCCAGCTGGACTGGGACTGAAAAAGCAGGGGATAAAACCGGACTCTCTGAATATGGCAGACAATGAGGGCTGCTGAGAAGCCAAGGACAACGGCACTGGGTTTTGATCCTACTTCATGTTCTGGCTTTGTGGGAACCTAGCCAGTTTAAATGTTCACCTTCCTAGACCAGGATGGAGGGGGGAGGACGTTGGACTTTCCACAGGGCAGGGAACCCTGACTGCTCTTCAGACTGGAGAGGGAGGGGGAGAGGAGTGGGGGGAGGGGAAGAGGAGTAGGAGGAGGGGGAGGAAAATGGGAGGCTGGGAGGAGGCGGAAATTTTTTTTCAATAAAAAAAATAAAAAAGACTTCTTTGCTCATGTTCTCCCTCCTTCTGCTCCTCATTGGGACCTTGGGAGCTCTGTCCAGTGCTCCAGTGTGGGTCTCTGTCTCTATCTCCATCCATCACCAGATGAAGGTTCTATGATGATATGCAAGATATTCGTCAGTATTGCTCTAGGATAGGGTCATTTCAGGTTCCCTATCCTCAGCTGCCCAAGGAACTAACTGGGGATCTCAGCTTGGGCACCTGGGAGCCCCTCTAGGGTCAAGTCTCTTGCCCACCCTAAAGTGGCTCCCTTAACTAAGAATTGTGCTTCCATGCTCCCCTATCCAACCTTCCTTTATCTCAATCCTCCTGTTTCCCCAAGTCCCCCCCTCCTTCCCTTCTACCTTTTCTCTCCCCATCTCCCCTAACATGAGCAAAGAAGTCGGGACCACGAGGGGTGCGCCCACCCACTGAGACAGTGGAGCTGATCTACTGGGAGCTCACCAAGGCCAGCTGGACTGTGACTGAAAAAGCATGGGATAAAACTGGACTCTCTGAACACGGCGAACAATGAGGGCTGATGAGACGCCAAGGACAATGGCACGGGGTTTTGATCCTACTTAATGTGCTGGCTTTGTGGGAGCCTAGCCAGTTTGGATGTTCACCTTCCTAGATATGGACGGAGGGGGGAGGACCTAGGACTTTCCACAGGGCAGGGAACCCTGACTGCTCTTTGGACTGGAGAGGGAGGGAGAAAGGAGTGGGGGGAGGGGGAGAAGGGTGGGAGTAGGGGGAGAAGGGTGGGAGGAGGGGGAGGGACATGGGAGGTTGGGAGGAGGTGGAAACTTGTTTTTTTCTCCCCTTTTCTCAATAAAAAAAAAGGCAAAAAAAATAAAAAAGAAAAAAAGATGTATTGCAGGAGAGAAGAGTTATTCAATTAAAAAATGGAAAAAAATCTGAGAATATTGTAGCAAAGTATTTAGTGAGGCAGGAAAAAATGTTCAAGAAATCTTTATGTAAAGGACATTCACCATGAAAAAGTGAAGTGTGTGAAGTAAAAGTATGCTAGCAAGTTCAGGAACCATTATAAAATGTAGGTGCATTCAAAATTCATGTTGTATGTAAAAATCATATGTAATTGATGGCAGTAAAAACTGATGACATTGGCTGGGTCCTCATCTCAAACTCATGGATTCTGAGCTACATTTAAAGAAACATTAATACGTGGCAACTATTGACCCAAGAGACACAAGATCAGACAACTCTGCCATTCTCTGACCTGCATTTGAGGGTGTTTAAAGCTTGTTTAGTCAGTCAAGTCATTCATGCTTCTCATGGTGATCCTGTTGCTCTGCATCCTAGGAAAGGCATAGATGAGGTGAGTACACAGGCAGGGGTCAATATTAGCAGGACGGAAGCTTCCCAGTCCTGGCCTGTTCCGGGCCACATTATTATAGTAGCACATCAGCTGGTAGGAAGAACCTGTGGAAGGCAAATGAGAACAGCAGCCTGCTGTAGGTGGCAGTGAACTCTGTTGACAGTTTGGTCCTGCCTCTTTCCCTTGCTGTGCCTCAGGCACCTGTTACCTAGGAGGGGATAATTGGAACTAAGACTCTTTAACCTGAGTCCAGACATTGCAACTTAGCCATCAGGCACTGACTTGAAGTTGATGATTAGAATGATGGCACTCACTTCTGGATCTTGGCTAAGTTTAGAAGACCGCTAGAGCTGGTTTGTTAATGCTAAGGTGGGCACACACAGAGGGCAGCACTGAGAGCTGAGCTGTAATAGTCTACTCCCAACAGTGGAAACCCATCTCCTTCCCACATGACTCTTGGTATTTTTTTCAAAGAAAGTATTATGAGAGTATAATTTAAAAATCATAAAAGAAAAGTACATTAGGAGTAATTCTTAGAGATTCGAGGCTTATGATGAGAAAATGTTCTGTAAACAACAAAACATGAAGTCATCATGACATACCCAGATGAGAATTCAGCAGAAGTGCCAAACCTAGAGAGAGAAAGAACAAACATTTACTGTGAAACATCTGCCTGAATCATTGAGTGTCAAACTCTGAAACAGTGAAAGTCATCCTACTAGACATAGATCAGAACAGCCCAAGTGAAACTTTATAGCCATTTCAAGGGTGATATACATTTCAATCTACTCTTATGATTTATTGGAAAATGGAAAATGGAAATGACCATCCTTGTCCACATTCTGTGTCCTAATTAATTTTTACTGAATGTAAAGTCTATTTATCCACAGAACTAGTGCTGTCTGAAGTTACTTTAGTTTACTATACCTAGTAATCACCCTTTTAAACTATGTCTCACCTCCCAGAGTTTAAACCCAGCCTTCCAACAGTCAAGCCATCTGCTAAAGCAGAGAACAGTATTACCACAATCTGAGTTTTTTGAAACATCTTTGAAAAGACCTTGCTGGAGGGATGAAGATGTGAAGTTCCAGATTCCTCTCTTTGGCATCAACAGAGCAGGGTTTGAGACAGCATGTCTTACTAACTAGCCCAGATGGGCCTTGAACTAGAGAACCTGCCCCCATGTCTCTTGATTGCTGAAATCATAGGCCTGAACCATCATCACGTAACCAGACCACTTCTGAATCTTTTACAAATTGAACTTCAGTGTTCATCTGAGAAAGTCTCTGATGCTTAATAAGTTACAAAGCATAAGTTTAGAACAACTAGTAAGACTTCAATGACTTGGCTCAAAGTGACTACTGAACAAATTTCTATGGTTGTCTATGAGGAACACTTTTACTCCATCAATGCAGCAGACCCATGGAGGATAAATCTGAAAACAGTAGAAAAAAGATGACTAGGATAGCTGCATCTAAGTTTCTATTGATCTTCTTCTCTTTAAAAGTTCGTTCCAGGAAATAAGCAAATAAATATAATGCCAATGTAAGGCACATGGTATAGGAAGATGAGTGGGGAGTATTAATGTCTGGACAAAACAGGAGCCAGCAGAAAGGTATTGTTAAAATGAGACTCTTTTAATGCTGTATATGTGTCATCAATGAAGGCAGAATAGTTATCACAGCCCGTGAGGTTAGGAAAACTTATTAAATGATGGAAGAAAATTTGAAATTCTGAAAGAAGAATGATAATACATAGAGCCATAGTGTGACGATGCCTCCTGGTCGTCAGATCCTGAGAACAAAAGAAGCCAGGCAACACTGAGTCTTTATGTCTGATTACCAACTCACCTGTGACAAGAAGGAACTTGGTCATGATGTCTTCAGCAGTGTTTCAGTGGGGCCCCGGATGGCCTTTTAAACAATTTAAGATCCAGGTAATCCCAAGGTTTGCCAGCTGGAAAATGTTTACTGGGATGTGTATATATGTGGCTAATCAGTAAGCCACCAGCTTTCCTTCTCCGCTGACTCAGCTCCTTTAGTATCTCACTGCCACCACCCTTCCTGTTTCACATCACGTAGCAATGACATATGCTTTAGCAGTCGGGTAGAGGTAATCACCACAGGGATTACTCATTCCCTTAATTTCGGTTTTGGCAGTTTCCAAGTATGCAGCAGCTGTTCAGGTGTTGCAGATAAGTTTTATTGAACTTATTTCATCCCTGACATAAAACATTTCTTACAGGAAAACAAGTTAATCGCTGTTTTTAAACCCCCTTTCTTCCTTGAATTATTTGCTTGTAATGTTTCTGGTCAGTGCTAATGGACCTCCACTCTTTAGGGGCTACTTTTTGAATGTTGAATATTATGCCTACACTTGTTCTTTGGAATGACTTCAAGTGACAGTTATAAGATAAATCTATTTAAGAATGTATTGGTCCCAGTATGTTCCTTCTCAGGCTTCTAAGAACCCTCTTAATGTTCACATACAGGAGAGGTTGAAAAAGATTTTTCAGTTTTGAATACATACAGATGAGGGTATTGAAATGTCTCCTTTACTAGAAATATTGGTTACTGATTATTTCTAGAGTTTTAAAGATTGAAATTAATTCATTGCAGTCAAACACCATCTGCTACTACTGTCTCATATTAAATTTGTTTTAGTTAAAATTGCGTGTTTAACACCTCAACGCAATTTACATTTCTCTGCTCCAGCTGTTACATCTTTTCATGTCTTGCTTTCTACCTCAATCATAGAATTCAAAGTTCAGGTTAGATCCTGGCTTTATCATCCAATGATGTCCCCTCCTCTTAATTCTGTTATGTACTCTAGCCCGTGTTGTTTGTACAGCTTATGGCCTGTGATCACCCGGAACTCAAGGGGTAGGCAATTGTATGGCCTCCTTGTACCTCATCAGAGTTACTGTGAATCCAGGCTGGTTTTATCACTTGATTCGTTTGAAAATTAAAGAGTATTGACTCTCCTAAAATAACTGAACTTTCTGTAATTGTTTCTGTCTAATTAAAAGAGAAATTTCCCTGACGAGGGGTGAAGACTATGTTTATCTGTGGGTATGAGGAAACTCTTTAAAATTTAGTTAGAAATTCTACTGGTTTAGTAAAGTGGTGGTTAAAGTGGGGGGTTGTAGGTTCTCCTCCAAGATTGCTTACTTCACAAGGCCTGGGTAGTTGACTGGGTTTCCAGTCACTGTAGAAAACCAGTCAATCAAAGTGGAAAGTTGTGGAGCCCAGTCCTAACTAATACTTAATCTATAACACAACTCCTGCACCCAGGGCTTAGGGACCATTGCAAAATGGGGGTAAAATGATTGTAAGAGCTAGAGGAACAGGACGTTTGATGTGAGATTGTGTCTTCTAGAAATGTCAGAAGTTACACCTATGAAGTCTTATAAACCTGGCTTCTTAAACACATGACCTGAACAAGAAAGACACAAATAGACATGATAATGTGGCTGGGGGAAAAATCATAAACCTCAACCCTGATAAAAAAAACTGTGGTCAGCTAAAGAATGCTGAGAAATAGTATTTCCCAGGGAAGAGTCCACCAACCACTTGGTCAGCTCTCAAAAGTATATGTAACAATATATAGGTTTAGCACATTTTATTCATGCACTTATGAGTACACATGAATAAACACAAATACATGTATATATCAACAATTCAAGAGAAGTGATTACAACTTTGAAAGAATGCAGAGGGAGTGTACATGCGAGTATTTGAAGGGAGAAGAGGGAAGGGGAAAATGATGTAATTACACTATAATCTCAAAAAATTATTAAAAAGTTAATTAGATCTTGAGGATTTGGTTCTCATCCACAAGATCAGACAAAGTCTTCTCATGCATATTTGTGTTTCTATAATATACATTTTAAAAAAATGGATGGAATCAACCCAAAACCCTCTGTTTGGGATTTCCAGTTTGTCCTCTCCATGCCCTTCCACACCACCTACGATAGTGATCCAGGAACACAGGGTTGTTCCAAGACTAAACTCCAACACCATCCAACTGGTCCTGTGCTTTACAGAGGCTTCTCAGTTTCAGAGGTCCCATTTATTCATTGTTGCTCTTATTGTCTGTGCTACTGGGTTTATACGTAGGAAGTATACGTATAAAAATTAAATAAAAAAGAAAAAATTTCACCTCCTCTCCTCCTCCCATTTCCGTCCCCTCCCCCACTCTCCCTCCTCCACCCTCTCCAGTCCAAAGAGCAGTCAGGGTTCCCTGTCCTGTGGGAAGTCCAAGGTCCTCCCTGCTCCCTCCAGGTCTAGGAAGGTGAGAATTCAAACAGACTAGGTTCCCACAAAGCCAGTACATGCAGTAGAATCAAAACCCAGTGCCATTGTCCTTGGCTTCTCAGTCAGTCCTCCTTGTCAGCCACGTTCAGAGAGTCCGGTTTGATCACATGCTCCATCGGTCCCAGTCCAGCTTGCTTTGGTGAGTTCCCATTAGATCAGCCCCACAGCCTCAGTGGGTGGGCACACCCCTTGCAATCCTGACTTCCTTGCTCATGTTCTCCCTTCTTCTGCTCCTCATTTGGACCTTAGGAGCTCAGTCCAGTGCTCCAATATGGGTCTCTGTCTCTATCTCCATCCATCGCCAGATGAAGGTTCTATGATCATATGCAAGATATTCATCAGTATGGCTATAGGATAGGGCCATTTCAGGCTCCCTCTCCTCAGCTGCCCAAGGATCTAGCTGGGGACATCTCCATGGACACCTGGGAACACCTTTAGAGTCAAGACTCTCGCCAACCCTAAAATGGCTCCCTTAATTAAGATATCTACTTTCCTACTCCCATATCTACCCTTCCGAGGAGGTGAAAATTTGTAATAATAATAATAATAAAAATAAAATAAATCTATGTAAGAAGAAAAAAATAAAATATAACCCATATTATAGGTATACCAAACAATCCTACAGGTCAGGCAATAGTAAGATCAAATAGTACTATAGAGGACATGTTAAACAAACTGAAAGGGATCTAAAACACTTCCAGAAATAGATTGTATAATGCTTTTTCTTAATGCTAATGAGAAAGCAACAGTGGCAGCAGAGAAACATTAAATAATAGAAAAACTACTGAATTAAATCAGCCAGTGTATTTCAAGGATGTGTTGACCTCACGATGGAAACAGGAGATGTGGTACTTTCGGGAAGGGGTTTTACTCTTGTTTCTACAGGAGAAGAAAAGCTATGTACACCATAAAAACTAATAACAATTCAATTTGGAAAAAAGAAACCTCTTGAGAAAGAGAAATTACTGCTCATCCACAGAGGTAAGAACTATATGGGTGGTAAGGAAACCTCATAAGGGTTGGGGCAGGGTTCTGTTCTTGTCTTTGCAGGAAAAAACTCATCTTCAAAAAGTTGAGTGACCTTGGATGTCTAGATGCCTAAAGAAGAAAAGATATCTATCCTTAAAGAATCACCAAGCAATGCAAAATTTGACTGATGATGCTATATCATCTGCATTGTAAAATTTGATTATCTGAACATGTATATATCTCCACCTAAAAATTAAAGCTAGCTTTGGAGTTGGACAATGGCTATCTTTCTCTAAATCCAAGCATGTTTTTAAAAGAAAACTTCAGGGTTTCCATCTAATGTCAGGAGCCATTTGGTATAGAATAGAAAGAAGAAAGAAAACCATTCTTTTCTCCATACCTATTTTTGTCTATATCATACCTTTTGTTGAACATATGTGTATATAAATAATGTTCACGTTTTCTACAATGAATAATAAAATTTCCTGCCGTAATCTTTGAAGTTTCCAGGAAGAAAATGGGGCACCACAACAACTCCACCTGGTTGATATGACATTATGATGCTAATAGTGCTACTTTAAGACCAGTTTTGGGTACCAACTGTTCAAGATGGCTTCAACTTGGTCAGTTGAAATGGTGTACCTTCTTACAACTTTCTGGCCAGAACTTCAAATAGGGACTTCAGAAAAATCCTATTGACTACTCAGACACTATTTTCAATTATACCAGACAGTAATCTTGAATATAAACCATTATTTTAGTTTTACAGGATCACATAGAAATAATATCACCCTCATGACAGCGGAAAGTAATCCTAGAAGATGACATCCCTTCTCTCAACAAAGTTTGTCCTCAGGATTAAGGTCATCAATTAGGGGTTGATTATAACTGGTATAAATTCTAGGTTGGGGTAAAAATTATATAGGCTCAGGGATCTCATTGAGAAAAAGGAAGAATTTGGATGGGATAATAGGTAGATTAATGTGTCCTTATTCACTAATAATAATAGTGAATAACAGAGTGAATACTTGTGAACTATTATATATAGACAATTTACATTCATATATTCTTTTAACATTTTTATAGATTCTTGTATATTGATATAAAGTCAAATTATATTAAATATGCTCCTATTTCTCTTTACAGCATTTGTACGCCTAGGCAAATTTATTTTATCTTATTGTATGCATGCATGGTTCTATCTCTGCTTAAGACATTTTGTTTAGTGATACAATTTTAGGATATATTTATCATATTATACTATACATTTCTACATCTGATCAAGATATTTATACATTGTTTAAATTTTGAGATTATTGCCTTAATTTTCTATACAGTTGTTCAAAGATTGCTCAATATTCTAATATGAAGTCTTAATATTTAAGTTATATAAATATTAAGAATTACAGGTCAGTAGTTCCATATTGTTATACTTATAGTTAGACTAATCAAGTTCTTTGTATGGATAGAAATTACATTCTGCATAGATAGGTAATCTTCCACCACTTCAAAGAACTGTAGAATATGGCATTTAAATAACTTAGTGTTCTGTTGACGTGAGACATGATTGCTCCTGCCAGCACCAATCTA